TCTTTCCCTTTTTTTTACCGGGCTTTAGTTAATAACTGAAAGTCATGCCACAAAGAAATTTGTGTAGGATTACTTCGGTAATCGCGATCAACGCTAGCCAAGCGTAACTAACAACAGAGTAGGGACGGGCGAAACTAATCAATCGTCTCGACAACTAATTATTCACTTTTCGTTAACCAGTCGTTTATAGAGTACTGTTTCTTTTTATTATTCTAACACTTGTGCGTCAACACTGATCGCGCGAGAGATCGACACTGATTAAACTATACACTAAACAAAATGCAGCGGAGTCACGTCGAGTAGCGTCTCGATAGCAACTTCGTTGATTCTAACGGTATGCATGCCGATTATGTTCAATTGCTATATTTAGCTATCGTTTCTGCCCTGAGAATAAAAATTTAAAATTTGTATAAAATGAAGCACTTGCGCAAACTACAAACATTCAGCTATCGTTTTTTATGCGTTTATTTCATTCCTCTCTCGAATATTTCTTCCAGATGATATCGAATCCGTTTGGATTCTCATTATTTTATTTATCTTTCTCAAATATTTTTTTTTCATATATCAACTTTAGAAGTCCTTTTTGAGCGGCTCGCAAGATCTTCACAATTTTAATTATCGCTTGTATTCTTATGGTTAAAACGACTGGTTATTCACTAATTATTGCCCATCCCTACAAGAAAACATCGCTTGTCTTCTAGGGATTATCTCGAAGTGTGTTTGCCCATGGGGAGGAGCACGCTCTGGTGTGTGTTTTGTATGTATGTTTGTATGTATGTGATAACAATTTTACGTTACAATTTATATTTGTCTCGCCCATTTTTCCTCGCAGCTTCGAAGCGGCGTCTTCTACGTCACAAAAATATCAACGTTGGAAACTACTACAATATTCTGTACTCTTTTCGTTTGACCAACGTTCGACTTCTCAGTGAAGAAGTTGACGCTATTTTAATAATTCTACCGATACGTCGCTTGCGTCAAAACCAATATCATCGTACTAATCATATATTCTATTTAGCGAAAATAAGAAAGAAAGATTATATCGGAGAGTAAAGCCAGAATATTTGCGAGAGCAAAGTTAAGTAGAAAAATTAGGGATAATCTACTAAATCGGATTATCTCTAAAAGTGATCGCTTGTACACAACGGTAAACAAGATTGTTTCGACGGGATCGTTCGGTTTCAAAACTTTGTTGGCAAAAGTAATCCTAAAACCCCACATTTCACGTAAATCTGGATTTGCAGAACTTACTTACTCTGACATGTTTTTAGTTACGACCAATATATATATATAAAAATATATAATATTATATATATAAAACAAAATAGAATACAAAAAATGTTTTTAAATTTGTCCAAATTTTTGCATTTACAGGCAAATCGATGTAATCGATGATAAAATCTGAAGGATTTAGAACTGCTATGTATGCATTTGAAATAACAGAAAGAATAGAGAATAATTCTAAACTTTCTTCAATCTTTTTTTACAAAATTTAATCGGTCGTGTCTAAAAATATATCAGAGATTTTCGGGAAATTTTCTGTAGATATAATTTTCAAAATAAAAAAGAAAAAGTGAATGAAAAAAGGTAGATTATATTTGCAAAAAATGTAAATATGTACGCGTGTATATTTGTTTGTCGTAACATTTCTTATCTTGCCGGGATTTTTAATCACGGAGAGATCCTGAAAAGGATGAATTTTACAAATATAACAGAGATGCAAACGCACGCGTGTATGTCTCTCGCTTACGTATCGGTATATCCTGGTCATGTAATTCTAAAAATGCGTATAATAACGTTTATCGTAAATATAAATATTACGAATGTGTGTGCAGATTTATAACATGTCGCTATCATGCTGAAATGGTACTCATCGTTTCGGAAAGCTCATCAAAACTTCGCTATTTCAGGTTCCGCTTTCTTGGCGCGAAAAAATGTTCTTTAACTAGACGGTCTAAGGGGCAAGTAAAAGAAGACAATAGGTATCGTTGCACGATTTTATCGCCTTTAATCTTGAATTTAATGATCACAGTGATTTAAAATTTAATATTATACAAACTCTCCATCCGCGAACGAATCTTACCGAAAACTGCACATCACTAACTTGATATCACGTGTGCTAGAATAACACTATACAGTTCACCCATAAAACTAACGTTTCATCTTCGTAGGATATCGACGTATCTCTTTGCTCTCTTACTTGCCCCTTTAATTTTAGAGTCTGCACAAGTCTCTGATATAATCTCACCGCAAGAGCGCGCAGACGCAAACATATAATACAAAAGCCCGTAAAGAGACGTCTGTGAAAGACGCTTAAACAACGTCTAAAAGATTTAAACATCCGCCTGTCCGGATTGAAGCTTGTTCTCGAGCAAATAACTAAGATTAGGTATTCACAGCAAAATTTTTCGTAGTCATTGAACCGCACCGGGCGGCGACGAGGTGAATATAGAAGGAGAGGAGGGAA